CTCCTCCTCCTCCTCCTCCTCCTCCTCTTCCTCCTCCTCCTCCTTTCCTCTCCTTCTCCTCCTCCTCTTCCTCTTCCTCCTCCTCCTCCTTTCCTCTCCTCCTCCTCCTCCTCCTTTTCCTTCTTTTCTTCTTTCTTCTTCTTTTTGTCCCAGGATTAGGGCTTGAATTCAGTGGCTCATTTTCTTGCTTAGCTTTTGCCCTCAAGGATGGGGGTCTACCACTTGAACCACAGCTTCACTTCTTTCTAGCTTTTTATTGGTTCTTTGGAGATAACAGTCTTATGGACTTTTCCTGACCAGGTTGGCTTTGAACCTTGATCCTCAGATATTAGCTACCTGAGTAGCTGGGATTACAAGCATGAACTACTGGCGCCTGACCAGTTTTACAGCTTCACTGATGATTCTGTTTTTCCCACAAGCTTTATGGGAGGTTTATTATTGTCTGATACCTTCTCAGAGTGGGATTGTTCTAGAAAGCTTTTCCTTCCAAGTAAGTCACCAAGATGTGAAGGAGAAGAATGTGAATCACTTATCCATTTACTAATTACTACACTGGAAACTTTGCCAAGATGAGGAATAGTTATCACTAAAGAACAATGAACATCAGGAATGGCACGGCAAAGCTAAAATAGAGACGCTACATATGTAACCAACCAATTAAAATACAGTTTGTAAGTTGGGCCTTGGTGGCTCACGCCTGTAACCCTAACTACTCAGGAGATTGAAATGTGAAGACTGGAGTTTGAAGTCAACTTGAGAAGAAAAGTCCATGAGACTCTTTTCTTTATCTCCAGTTGACCAGCAAAAATCCAGAAGTAGAGTTGTGTTTCAAATGGTAGAGTATCAGCCTTGAGAGAAAAAACTAAGGGACAGCACCTAGGTCCTGAATTCAAGCCCCAGTACACACGTACACACACACACACACACACACACACACACACACACATCAATTTATGTGTGCTTTTTTATATTGAAACTTTAGTGAAATCCCTCAAACTCTGCTTTTGCTCAGTTCAGGGAGATGTCACAGCTAACTGACATAAACAACCATAGTTAAATTTACCTAAAATTCAAACAGTATTCACTCCCTCTTATTCTTGGGTGACACAGAATAAAACTCACAGGTAGTAATTTTACCCACAAGAGGGAGCCTTCCATGTTTATATTTTTGTTACAGAACTTGAAAAACAAATTAAAAATCTGAAATTCTTCACATTTCGTGATAGCTGTATCTTTCTCTGAGGTCAAGTTTTGGGCCTATTTTTTTTAACATCTTTTTTGACTGTAACAAATCAGGATGTCAGAAGATTTGAAAGGTAATTGGAATTTTTAAACATGTCCTACCTAGAGTATTGAACTTGTTTTTTTTTTTTTCTTCAGATATAAGAAGAAAAAAAAAAACACATAGTTGCCAAAATAGCCTAAGAGGAAATTCCTTTTAGGTGCTAGGAACATTAGCTGAGTAAAATTAACTAGAATGTTTAGAAGTGCCAGAAAAACAAGTTTAATTACATAGCAAGGAAAGAGTCTGGTCATGTGCATGTTAGAAAAGAGACTTCCATCCACCCTTCATTCTTTATGTGTTTGTGGGACAGAAAACACCCTGTTTAAAAAGATATGCAGAAAGATCCCTTAAAACAAGCAAAAGAAATGTTAAATACTGTTATGATAGCATTCTTAGAGTTGAGAGAATACATTTAACAAACAAAACAAAACAAAACCGGGCTCAGAAGCTCCCGCCTGTCATCCTAGCTACTCAGGAGGCTGAGATGTGAGGATCACACAGTTTGAAGCTCCATGACACTCTTATCTCTCACTAGCTACCAGAAAACCAGAAGTGGAGCTGTGGCTCAAAGTGATAGAATGCTAGCCTTGACAGAAAAAGCTCAGGGACAGCGTTCAGGACCTGAGTTCAAGCCCCAGCACCAACAAGAAAAGTGAAAAATAAATAAAATAATAACTAAATTAAATTTGAAAAAGAAAAAGTAATATAAAATAACAGAATAGAGACAGAGATACATTTGGGGAAGATGGGAGGAATCTCACTGAGGAGTTAAAGTAGCTCCAAATACGAGCCTTTGTGTTTTGTGTATTTGGTTTGTTTTACCTATTCAGAAAGTTCACCAGTGCGGAGGTTTTATGTTTACAAACTACTCTTGAAAGCAGATGAGGTTTTTTTTTTAAATTTCCAAAGCCATTTTTATCATTTAGAACATATATGATTGGTTAAGAAACAAATATTTTTCTTTTTCTTTTCTTTTTTTTTTTTTGTCGGTTGTGGGACTTGAACTCAGGGCCTGGGCGCTGTCCCTCAGCTCTTCAGCTCAAGGCTAGCGCTCTACCACTTGAGCCACAGCACCACTTCTGGCTTTTTTCTTTTTTCTTATGTGGTGCTGAGGAATCAAACCCAGGGCCTCAGGCATGCAAGGCAAGCGCTCTACCACTGAGCCACCTGCCCAGCTCCCCTCTCTCTCTTTTTTAATGTTTGTTTGTTTCTCAAAGCTAGTGCTCTACCGCTTGAGCCACAGCCCCACTTCAGCTTTTTGCTGGTTCATTAGAAATGAGAGTCTCATGGACTTTCTTGTCTCGGCTGGTTTCAAATCATGATCCTCAGATCTCAGCCTCCTGAGTAGCTAGGATGACAGGTGGGAGCCACCAGCGCCCAGCTGGATCTATTCTTTTAGTATGTCCATTGGATTTTCGGTGAAACTCTGTTCAAGTGATGTGTCCTTGGATTGTTAAGGTGTCTGTGCAACTCTTGAGCTGTGAAAGTTTGTTTGGTTCACTTTGTTGCATATGGCTTCTTCATCAATTGGATGCAGTATAGATCTATTCTCCTAAAGTCTGAGCAACTGTGAGCCACCATTCAAACAAACAAACTTCATTTGGAACGTTATTTTCTTCTGTTTTTTTGAGATAGGAAATACATAGCAACCCTACACTTCAATGCAAAGATTTTAAAAAAGAGCAACACAAAAAAAAACCTGTTGCTCAGATAGAATTCGAGTAAGAGCGAAACAAAAGGAAAGGAAAAGAAGAAAAAGAAAACTACATGTTCACAGAAGATCTTGTCTCTTTGGAAAATATATTATATATATACATATCAACTATTTACCCCCTTGCAATAGATACAAGTCTAAATGAAGAAGAATGAATGAGAAAAACAACTTTAAAACAGACGTAGCAACAGCTTCATAGGAGATTTTTTCTGTTTTGTTTCATTGGCTTCAATTCCTATAGCTAGCGGTGCTGGTGGCTCCTGCCTGTCATCCTAGCTACTCAGGAGGCTGAGATCTGAGGATCGCGGTTCAAAGCCAGCCCAGGGCAGAAAAGTCCATGAGACTCTTATCTTCAATGAACCATCAAAAAACCAGACGTAGAACGGTGGCTCATGTGTTAGTTAGTCAGCTATCCACAGAAAATGCCCCATGAGAGGATTTGAGTTCAAATCCCAGTATCCCTAGTGCACACACACACACACACACACACACACACACACACACACAACTGTTATCCTTTATTCCATTTTCCAACCAGAGTCATTTATCCCCTATTAGATAAAGTATAATAAACTCTACAGAAAGGGTCGCTGGCCTTCTATTTAATAATATTGCCAGCCCCAAATTTGCATTTTCCAGCAATGTCTCGCAACACACAATAAATGGCTGATCTCTTCACAATAACAGCTGATTTCTATTTATTAAGCTAAAAAGGTCACCATTTTCTACGGCGGGGCGGCCCTGAACTATTGATAATTTTATGCATAAACAAATGGCAAATTTGTGCCACATAAATATGCATTAGCAATTACTTTCTCCCAGGGCAACGTTGAGCGCATGCAAATGTGGAGCTCCCAGGGCCTGGTGGCTTTTGTTTTAGGCTCTTGAACAAAAGAGCACAATAAACAATTTGGAAATTGTCAATCCATAAGCAAATGCAAATGCGGAAAAAGTAAGATGGCCAGCAATGCGCTTGCAGACAAAAGTAGGTGCTGGGAATGGGGGGTGGAGATGGGGGGGAGACTGGAGAGGACTCGCGAAGAGGAAGGACATTGCATTGGATTTATTTCTTTCTGGTTCCTCATGAAAAGACTAAAGTACTCTTGACGCACCACCACCAACAGAAAGAGGGTGGGTGGTCATGGGATTTCAGAGACAGTTTTTCAGACTCATTTTTCTGATTTTTCCAATCTCGGATGGGCAAAGATGTTTCCTTCTCGGTCAAAGAGAATCTTCCAGAAAAAAAAACAAAAAAAAGAGACAGAAGTGAACCCCAATTCTCCTATTCTTCTGTGCTTTGTTTGTTTGTAATGACGGTAGAATGGAAGGAATGCAAAGTTTGAGAAAAGTTCAGAAGAACATCCCCTTTCTCCACCCATAGCTGGGCACAGCAAGGCATACAAACTGCCCCAGACTAGGTGAGAAGATAAAATTGGGAGGATCGAGGT